AGGCAGACATTTGATTCCTTCCAGCTGTATTTTTGAGCATAAGCTAGAAAGAAGAAACTAAAAACAGAGGTGGAGGATGTAAGAGAGAGTGAGAAATGGTTCTTAGAAGTCATATCAGTGTTTGTCTAATTTTGATTTTTTTTAAAAATGAGCTGGACTAGCATTAAGGAAGCTTTATTCTTTTATGATATTTGAATCAAAGAAGGCTCTGGAGTCTGGAGGTGTTAGACTCAGGCTTAACACATGCATTTGGATTCGGTAAATTCTATCAAACTCTAGTTGAAGCCTTACATGATGAGGGCATTGGGATTGGTGGCCCCCAAATGTAGTAAATAGATATGCAATTTGATTTGTTCAGTGTTATATTGCCATTGAAGATATCCACACAGGGAATTCTAATAAATCCAGTTTTATCAGATGAAGCTCAGTAGTTCTACCAGATTACACTGATACATCATTTGTGTTCTTTCCTGGTTATAGTCTAATAACCTTTTGAATATGCTTCAATAACTTCACAGTTGAATACAGTGGATTTTACATGCCACTGTCCTTGATAAAACTTCAAGCTTCAGTTGGTGCAGAAGACGGTAACCAAAATTTCAGATTTTATAATCAACTCTATAGCGATCTTGAAATAGTTTTACTGACTTTCAGTAAACTTATGGGACCAATTAATTTAAAAAGTCTGTAATTGCATGTTATCACACTAGCTTTAAGAACTCATATTGAGGGCTTTTTTTGTTGCCCCCTATTCTAGGGATACATTATGCGGTGAACAGTAGAAATTATTCTTTTAATAGGTTCTTGCTATGGAATGCTCTCCCCAGTAATTTTTTTTTTTTTACTTTTGTGGGCTTGGCTTGGTGGGCGTGGCAGGGGAAGGATACTGTAAAATCTCAAGTCAGAGGTGGTATTTGCCAGTTCCCCAAACTACTCAAAATTTCCACTGCCATTTCTCCAGAACTGGTCAGAACCTGCTGAATACAACTTCTGGCTCTCCCCAATGTTCTGCTTTGCATGTAAATCTTTTTAATGCTAGGCAAAAGCATGCCTATTCATCTATATTCCAGGACTTCTAATTCATTTTAAATTGTTTGTAATTACAGTTTTAAATTTTTTTCCAATTCTTCTTGATACATTATTATAGGTTGCACAGCATGGTAAAGGATTTTTATATAAATGTGCTTTTTAAAAGATGCTAGGATTGTGATGTACAATTCTTTAGTAGAGTCATTTGTCCTGTCATGGCAATAATGGGTAGCTAGAATATTTTCAGCCAAAGTTCCTACCCAAAACATTTAACATAAAGGTTCCTGAATAACTCTGCACAAATATAGCAGCACTAGTTCTGCTTCCTTTCATGGTAATTATCATTCTTGCCTTGTCTCATTTGACTTGAATTTCAATAAGTGGTATCTTAATGTGAAAGTTAAAGGAGATACTCATCAAATTGCAAAGAGCACAAAACTGCGAGGAGGCTTATATATACTAGGAATTAGGCATGAGTCAGTACAATGTGGCAACTAAAGAAACTAAAGCAATCCAACAAAAGTACCAAGCTTATAAAATGAAATTATGCAGTTCAATTCTATTTAACCAGATCTCATGTAGGGTCATCTGTCTATTTCTGGACACAATTTAAGAAGGTATTGATAAACATAAACATAAGGAAGACAGAGTGGTAAAGAATCTGGAAATTAAATCTTATAATGAAACTTAAAGGAATTGTGTTAATTCAAATTGAACAAGAAACAAAAGTGATGGTATAATAAAATTCATAGGTTCTACCATATGCAGGCAATGATGCAACAAGCATATTTTCTGTTGTCCAATTTTCAGGCTTCAAATAGAATAATCTGAGGGTTCCGGAAAAGATTGCTTCTGAAAGTTTTTTTCATTTGTTGGAGGCATAAGCAAACAGTAGACGTTCACATTCTAGGAGTACTATAACAGAAGGTGTGTTTTTGTTGTGTTTTGGTTTTTTTTTCTTTTTTTCTGTATTAGCTGAGAATTGGACTTATACGATTATGTCACACCTGCTAATCTTGACATACAGAATTTTGTCAGCAGATTTCTATAGCTCTCTTATGTTAGAAACAAGATAGCTGTAAAGAAATACATATCTTCAATAGAACAGCCTTTCTCAGTCAAGGTAACCTTCAGATCTCTGTCATTTCAGATAACCCAATGACCTGTGAGCACAATTCCACCAGAATGTCTGTCAACAAGGCAGTTATTAACTGAGGTTTGCCCAATTTTACAACCATTTTGCTATGGTTGAAATTGTGAATCACTGCAGTCTTTAATTGAATCTCAGAGTCATTAAGTGAATCTGGTTTTTCTCATTGACTCTGTTTGATAGAAGAGAGCTGAAAAGATCACAAATGGCCATCATATGACCCCACAATGGTGCAACTGCTGGAAATACATGCTGGTTGTCAAGTACCTAAATTTTGATCATATGACTATTTTTTAGAGTTGTTGTAATTTTGAATAGTTGCTAAATTAATGGTTTTATAGATCATGGACTATAATGAGAATTATAGGAGCTAAAATACAGATAACCGGAGGGTATCCAAGTTGGAGAAGATTGAATTAGCAAGATTAAGCAAGCTAATCTGTTTAGAGCAAAGCTCTGCAATCAGTTATGGTTCCCAGAGAGTTGTCCATATGGACTATAAATCTAAGTACCTTTCATCTCTTGCAGAATTCTGAAAAGGCTTTAAATCAGAATGAATCAAGAATTAATAATTTTTATTAAATTTTATTAATACAAATTTAAAAATACAAACATACAATATAAAGATAAAAAATATAGAAAAAGAAAAAGTACAGAGAGAGAAAAGGGGGATTATAACAGTTAAATTATAAATTATAAAGGTTTTTTTACTTTTTGAATGTGTGCTCTCTACTTCTATAAAACCAGAAATGCAATATTTGTCAACTGCAAAACAACAAGCAATTTAAACCATGAACTAGTCCAGATGAACAAGGATTTCTTATTGTAGAAAAAGGACCAACCATAATAGGTGGAAAAGATTAAGTTACCAGTTGCTTTCTATAATTGATGTAAAATTTGGCATACCAGGGTTGTTGAATTTGACATCATCAAACATACTGGTGCCAGCTCACTTGCAAATAATTCCATTCTTAACCATGATGATTTGGTCTGCCAGAATGAAGCTGATGCTGATGAAAGCTCAGAGCAACATATGGGGGAAAAAAATTTGCAAAAACAAATGTGCCAAATACTTTGCTAATTTTGTTATGGAAGAATAGAGGAAAAGAACATGTGAAAATGAGATATGCTTTTTGCTTGTGCCAGCACCAAGACTTTGATAGGCTTATGCACAATTTTAAAGGAGGTTGCCCAATAAACGTCAGACAAACCACACACATGTTCTAGTCTGCTTATACAAGTCCCAAAATGCTTTGTGTCTCTAGGGCCTTAAAACTTTGTAATTCTCTTATAATCAGCCCCATCACTTTAAAAAAAAAACACATAAGGAAATTGTCATGACATAACAAAGCTAAAGAAGGTTTTCTACTTCACCTGTATTTCTGCAAAACATTCAAATTGTTTTATTTTACATTTATTTAAATGCAGGAGACAATTGTATGAATTACAGTGAGGAAAAATATATTGTCAGTGGGATCATTTAGTCTGTTTACTTCTTTCTCCAAGTGCGGTTTGGATAGCATTGTAAATAATTTAACAGTTCAGCTACCTTGAAGCCTACATCTGTTCTGGATCGTTTTCATTTACAGCATAGAAAAATGATCTTCTCTGGACTTGCAAACTGAGCAGGCTGGGGTCTGGTTGTACCTGGATGAGAGACAGAGGTGGTATTCAGCAGGTGAGTAGTTTGGAGAACCAGCAAATACCACCTCTGACTGGAGATTCTACAGTATCCTTCCCCTGTCACGCCCACCAAGCCATGCCCACAGAACCAGTAGTAAAAAAATTGAATCCCACCACTGGTGGAGACCATCAGAGGTGTGTAGTAGGTATAGTAAAAAGAAAAAATCAAAATGGTGGCCGTGATGGTGCCAATTGAAATTCCATCCATTATTTATCTACATACATGTTGTTGGACGAAATATCCTTCTGGGTTCAGTTCCAAGTGGGGAAAAAGACACTGGAAACTGTTTGGAAAGATGGTTTAATGGTGGACAGGATCACATGCCTGGGAGCTCTTGGGCAAAGAAAAGGGAAGAAATTCTGAGAGTCCCTAGGTTTGATACCCTTTCTGGCTTTGAACTTTCTGGGGCACAGGAAGAGCATTCTGATTGGTTGCTGTCAGAGGTCATAGCTAGCTTTGCAAGTTATCTGTGTGCTACGTTTGTTTGAAACTTGGTGGGTGGTGCAATGAAGGGCAATTGAATGTCTCAGCCTGAAGGAGATAGAGCTCTGTTGTGTAGAATAGACTAGCTCAGGCCTTAATGGCCCATTAACAAAGGTGGGAGGGCTGAGTTTCGGCCTCTCCGAGTTTCCACTTCTCTTTTAGGGGAAATATTCTGTCATTTTTAATATATCCTAAAATATTTCGTTTTTCTAGGAGAGCGTTGGGTTTTAACTTCCAACAATGTAAAAGAATTGGGTGGTATTTCAATCATCACCATAATATCCACCATCTTTCTTTGTTCCCATACTTTGCAGGCATTTCTGGAGACCTTCAGAGAAGGCCAGGGCTATAAGGCCAGGGCAGGATATCAGAACAACAGAAAGGTAATTTCAAGTCATTTCCATGCAGTGGTGGGATTCAAAATTTTTACTACCGATTCTGTGGGCATGGTGTGGCTTGGTGGGCTTGGCAAGGGAAGAATACTGTAATACTCCATTCCCACCCCACTCCTGGAGGAAGGTTACTGCAAAATCCAACTTCCTCCCCACCCCACTAACCTGCTTTCCAGCTCCATTCTCCTGTGCAGAGCAACAAAAGAAGACCCAGCCGATCAGCTGAGACTAGGGAGGCAGAGAATAGATGGGGCTGGGGCCAATCAGAAGTGGTATTTGCTGGTTCTCCAAAATACCCAAAATTTCTGCTACCGGTTCTCCAGAACTGGTCAGAACCTGCTGAATACCACCTCTGTTTTCATGATATTGTCAGAAAAAACTAACCTTGATTTGAGAGCAACTTGAGCTTATTGGGAGATGGGTGCAATTAATTCAGGAGAGGCATAAGGTCACCATACATATGATTTAATTTAAAAGAAAAGACTGGGGAAGATGCAGATATGTTTCAAAGCTCCTTGGTGAAACTTTAAGCGCAAAGCTCTTACTTGCTATTAATGGCTTCAGTTTTATCAAGTGTTTATTCTCATGATCAAGCAGTTGTCAGTCACTGTAAAGAAGAAAATAAGCCCATTGTGAGGCCATGAAATTACATTTTCTAGGTAATAGCAAGTAATTAATACCACAGTCTGACCTTTGCCTAAAGCAGCCAATTTAGAGGCACCCAAAATGGCAAGCTGCACAACATGAGTCTGTGACCCAAGACAAAGATTTTCCTTGGATCTCTTAAAAGAACAAATGATTCTATTTTTCTTATAGTTACCTTTGGGCAATTAGCATAGCTCATCTATTGATTAACTGGCTAGGTTCATATGCTCCCAAGATAGCTTGATAAACAGTGTTGTTCACTTGCCTCCAAACAACGCTATTTTATCAAGATATGTTGGGAGAGTAAGAACTAAGCAAGTTAAATATGATTGGTTATTCAGAAAACCAATATTGCATTATGGATTTTCTACAAACCTCCACATTTATTTATTTAAATTGATTTATATAGCATTTCATCTTTGGCTGGCTGATACAGAGTAAAAGAAAAGAAACATAAATCCAATGTATATTTTTTTAAAAAAGACAATTTCCCAGCCAAGTAAACAAAAAGTGACTTTTGAAAACACCATAGACCAGCAGTGTGGATAAAATTATTGTCTTAAGTCTTCAAGGCTTTCCAAAACAGTTGGAGCCAAACAACCTTAGGTAATATAGTATTTACAGAAGGCAGACACAGCTATGGAAAAGGCATCCTTCTTTTTGGTCCGGCTAGAATAGAATGATAATCCCTGATTGACAGGGCCCAGGATGTGTCTTTCCTGCCTGCCCTAATGGAATTGGAGAAAACAATGAGAGAGTAAGGTGGCCGTTCCAGTACCCTGGCCTTGAGTTATGTATGACCTCCCAGACATGTTTCAAATGTCTTGAAACCATCGATGAAAGCGAAAGTTACATCAAATGCCGCCTATGCGACAATCTAGCCCACCCTGCCTGCTTAAACGCAAATAAAAGCCTAGCTGATATGGTTAAAAATTCAGAAACATTCTTTTATCTATGTCCATCATGCTCTCCTAAGCTAAACAAACTGAGTACCCTACCTGACAAAGTTGAAAGCATAGAATCACTCATTCACTCAATAGAAGAACGCTTAGCAACATGTTTTGAAACAACTATTCAAGCAAGCCTAATTTCTCTTGAAAAAAAAAATACAGCACAGATAAGTGAGTACCTATCAGATGAAAATCAAATCACAACTACAACCACTACCTCAACTACAATCACAAGTACAACCAAAAATAACCACCCAACCACAGCCACAAACAATTACTATCCCTTCAAAAAATTCCACAAATAATATCTCCTTACTCATCAGAGACACCATGGAACGTGAACAGAAACATCCAAATGCCATCTTATTTGGTCTCAAAGACACCAACGAATCAGATCACCAAAGTTCGTGATATCATAAGCAACTCAAATACAACAAACATCTCTCCTGAAGATATCATTGAAATAACCAGAGATGGCCATGGGTACAAATACAATGACGGCTCTGTGGCCCCAAGATTTTGTAGAGATGTTTGCAAAAATGAGTCCAGCAAACGCATATTCATTCATACAATAAATGCCATTGCAAAAACCAATCCCAACCACAAAAAACTTTACTCCAGACTTATCCATACTGCAAAGAATCCGCTCCTGTGAACTCTGCACAGAACTCAAAAACCGTCTAGACAATGTAGGACCTATACATTGACTACAGAGCTGATTGCATCAAAAAAAAGTCACACAACCCACAACTCTGCATCCAACCCACCCCATCCAATCCAACATCACTCAAAACTAGGCATGCATGCCCCTAACTACCTCTATTCCAGGCACAAGTGGCCTTAAATGCAAGCTACTCAATTCAAGAAGCCTTGTAAATAAAATACCTGAACTTCTTCTCTTACTAAATACGGCTAAATTTGACATTATATTTGTCTGTGAAACATGGCTCAACACATCTCTCCCTGACTCCATTACCACAGTAAGAGACTATCATGTTTACCGATCAGATCGTGAAATCCGTAGAGGAGATGGTGTTGCTATCTTCTCTAAAAAGTCCTTACATCTAAAAAACATCCAAGTTACCCAGGAGCTTGCTATTCCTGAGACCATCGTCTGTGAACTGTCCTAAAATATAGCATTTCAATTTTTACTATGTTACAGAGCCCCTGATTATGACATCAAACATGCAAAGAAGCTAAATACACTACTAACATGGGCAGCATCCTGCCCACACGCTTTTATCTTTCTTGGTGACTTCAATCTACTTCATATTAATTGGACCCTTAATGAATGTTCATCTGAACCCAAACATGCAACTTTCTACAATGCAGTAACAAATCTGGGACTAGAACAACTAGTAACCAACAATACTAGACTTAACAACTGCCTCAATCTCATCTTCTGCAATAGTTTGAATTCAATTTATGGAATACAAATTAAAGAACCCTTTTCCAACAGTGACCACAACATGATTGACTTTTGTCTCAACATACGTGCATACAAAAATCGTCAGAATCCCCAATTATAACTTCAGAAAAGGCAACTATGATCTTATAAACAGTGATCTCTCATCTCTTGATTGGCAATTTCTATTCTCTGGATGCAATACTATAGAAGACCATTACAACATATTTTTACTTGAAGTCAAAAGAGTCATCAAATTATATGTACCATTAACAATTCCCAAAACCAGAAAAAACAAAAAAACACTTTGGCAGAAAAACAAATCTGGTCACGTTGCCAACTTCAAAAGCTGATACAAAAATTTATGCCACCAGATAAAGACTGAATGCACAAATTATCACATTAAACAAGAGGAAAACCTTCTACACACGAATTTCACCCGTGCTTTCTACAATTTTGTAAACAACAAACTAAAAGACTCAAGGTCCATCCCACCCCTGAAAGGACCTAATGGTAAAGACTGCAATGACGACACTATTAAAGCCAACCTCTTTAACACATTCTTCAGCTCAGTATTTGTAAAAAGCAATGGATCATACCCAGTATTTCCTAGATGAACCACAGACAACTACAATGATCTAATACATATAGATTTTACAGAAGACAATGTTGAAAAAGCACTATGCAATATAAAACCTTCTCTATCTATTGGACTGGATGGAATGTGTGCCTACTTCTTAAACTACCCACTGCCATAGCATAATCTTTGAAAAATCTTTCAGGACCAGCTCCTTGCCAAAACTATGGTCACAAGCCACGGTCATCCCCATCTTCAAAAAGGGAGACCCCAGCCTAGTTGAAAATTACAGACCAATCTCTTTATGCTGTGTCACCTGTAAAGTCATGGAATCAATTATTAACCAATCCATTATCCTCCACTTAGAAACAAACAACCTACTCTCTAATAAACAATTTGGTTTTAGGAAAAAGCTATCATGTAACCTGTAACTCTTACACTGCAAAAACATATGGACTACACAACTTGATCAGGGCAAAGCAATAGATGCAATCTACATAGACTTCTGTAAAGTCTTTGATTCAGTGGTACACAACAAACTTCTCCTAAAACCAAAATCTTACGGTATCTCTGGACACCTGCATTACTGGATAGAAGCATTCCTGTCAAACAGACAACAAATGGTCAAAATTGGGAGTGTCCTATCAAATTCTGTACCTGTCAACAGTGGTGTTCCCCAAGGCAGTGTTCTAGGACCAACTCTTTTCATACTCTACATAAATGACCTCAGTGATCATATCAAGAGCAACTGCGTTCTCTTCGCTGATGATGTAAAGCTATTCAACACCACAGACAATACTGCTACCCTTCAAAAAGACCTCGACTGTGTATCAGAATGGTCAAACAAATGGCAACTTCAAATCTCAACAAATAAATGCTCTGTCCTACATATTGGCAAAAAAAATATCAGAAAATAAAACACAGGCTTAATAGTCAAGACCTTGTTGATGATCCAAACTCTGTCAAGGATCTTGGTCATTTCAAATGACCTAAGCACTAGAGCCACTGTAACTACATAGCCAAAAAGGCATTAAGAGTTGTCAACCAAATCTTACATAGCTTTTTCTCTGGTAATATTACACTAATAACTAGAGCATACAAAACATTTGCTAGACCAATACTCGAATACAGCTCATCAGTCTGGAACCCACATTACATATCTGATATTAACACAGTTGAGAAAATCCAGAAGTATTTCACAAGAAGAGTTCTCCACTCCTCATTGCAAAATACCTTATGCCACCAGACTTGAAATTCTAGACCTAGAAAACCTAGGACTACACCGCCTTTGGTCCGATCTAAGCATAGTATATAAAATCATACATTGCAATGTCCTACCAGTCAATTAATACTTCAGCTTCAACCATAACAACACAAGAGTAAACAATCGGTACAAACTCAAGGTTAATTGCACCAAACTTGATTGCAGGAAATATGACTTCAGCAACAGAGTGGTCAATGTCTGGAATACTTTACCTGACTCTTTGGGTTTTTTCCCCCAATCCCTAAAAACTTTAACCTTAGACTGTCTACTATTGACCTCACCCATTTCCTAAAAGGTCTGTAGGGGGTGTGCATAAGCACACTAACGTGCCTACTGTCCCTGTCCTATTGTTTCTTTTATATATATTTTTATTTTTCTTATATGTATCCATATATTCAAAACTATGTTTTTACTTATACCTATTACCTTGTAAGCAATTGACAAATAAAAATAAAATAAAATAAAATAAAATGCTTTTATAGCAAATAACTATAACCAAGTGAGAGATCCAGAAGAGCAAGGATGTGGCAAACATGTTAGAAGGGATCCTCCTCAACAACTCATACAATGGGAGTTGTAAGAGGTCTGGAGTTATTGTTGGATGGCCATATAAATTTGCTGAATTAATAAATAAACTCTCACTTGTCGACAATGTCAGCAGGAATAACATGCAGACTCAATCTCTTACCATTGTTTATAGTTTCTTGTATCTCTAGTCTGGGGAATGTCCATTTTTTTTTCTTGACTGCTCTTATGTGTGGATTAATAAGATTTGCATCTACCATTTCCAGGTGCTATTAGCCAAAAGGCCCAAGTTGGAGACCTTGGTCAATTGCTACCAGCACTTCCTATGCCTGTTTTAACTGCTCCAAGAGCCATGGCAATTTAGTCATGTTCCATGCAGATTCCTCATATCTACGTGATTCCAAACTTGTGCTTCATGGTTATCCAGGTACAGCCAGATATAAGGTCATAATCTGACTCCTTGTACATACACTTCCAGAACTACCATTGCCACACTAACGGGACATTCTGAGAGAACATTGTCCAGATTCCCAAGAGAGAGGGCAGTACATTCCACAGGAGCAGAAGATACTTTAGATGAGTGAGAGTTAAGACAGCTCCTCCATAATAGTTCCCAGAGTATATACTTTATAGTGCAAGTTGTCTACTTTAGTTTGCTAAAAATTTTGGCAATAAAGAAAATTGCTTAGAAGAGCTTCTTCATGTCTTTCATTGTCCCTTCAATGCTCCTTCCACTTACTTTTGAGACAGTAACAGTTGTATTGCTGGAAATCCAGAATAAGTACAAGCTGTGTCACCTTATCTGTTTTGGTTAAAACTAATCTTTCCTAACCCAGTATTCAGCAAGTTAAATATGCAAACAATTATGCAAACATGACCTGTGTGTGTATGTATGCTCTTTAGAAGCCAGGAGGCACAAAAGATAATTTATTCAAAAGTATACTTGGAGATTTGAAGGCAACGCATAAGAATGGGAGAGGTGGAAAAGAGCAGCATTAAAGATGTCAGTATTATGGATATCTGGTTCTAAATGCAATTACATTTACTTTCTATTATCAGAAAAATCCTTGAGAAATAACATTGGGCAATTTCACAAAAATATTGTAAAATTTTATTTTACGCCAGTTTCATGAATTTGGAGCTGAATCTCCTTTGTCTTTAGAATAAAAACTTTGAGGGCTCAAAATATATAAATAATCCACCTCCCTCTGCAGGGGCAGCACAACTTTCCAACATCCTTAGGATTCTTAACAAGGAAAAGCAAGTTAAAAATAATGCAGTATTTCAGGAAATGAGTATCCCACAGTGTCTCCTCGCTGTTTTATTACCATTGCAAGATGAGAATTTTTCCCTCTCATCTGATATGCAATTATTTGTATATCACTGGGATGTGGGGCACAATAAGACAGCCCTTCTTTGTACTAGATGCATGTTCAATAAAACTAGTACACAAGAATTTCGCAGTGGGTTATGCTGCTACTTTTTAATTTGTGACTTTTGTCCATGACCTTATAACAAGAATCATATCTACAGATAACAGCAGTGACTGTAAAGAGACTGCAAGGGGAAGTTAACATTGCGCTGAGTAAGAAGTAGTATGAAATATTGATGCCTGTATGAGATGTATTGGAGAATCCATCTTTTATGTTCTTTCATTCATGCCTGATATGAAAACTAAACTGTGTAGCAACACATGCCACTGGGATCCACTGTAATATAGAACCAGTCTCTGGATTCCAAACAAGAAGGAAAAATGAAAGAACTCAGACACGATCATTTCATCGGTGAACAACAAATCAAAAAGCACATATAGCACCTTTATTGGGTTGTGATTGTCATCAGAGACTCATTCAAACGTTAGTTAACACCTTCTATAAAGACTGACAAATCAAAAGATACTGAGGGCTGGATGTTGTCCACATTGAAGCCAAAGTATATCAGATCTGATTCCCAAGTGATATTTCCAATCAGGCAGCCCAAAATTACGTAGTTTCATATGTAGTCTTGCTTATACTTTATCTTTTCAAATGTTCTCCAATACTGCTTATAATTATCTTCTCAAATGATCCTAAAAAGAACTTGTTTATTATGCACATTTTAAAGAAACCACAAGCACCACCATATTTTGAAAATGTGAAATTATTCATAAAAAATAAAGATTACACCTAGACTTCTGAGATTCAGAAGCAAACCCAGTGATGTGTGTTGACAACCATAGGCAAAAGAATTTAAAGAATTTAAAAATGACTTTTTTTCTTAATTGTAAGAAAAAAATATAAAAACACCTATGTTTAAAAGTTTAAACCCAATTCTCATTTCCCCTCTTCCATATTGCACAATGATAATTGAGCAAGCAAAGTAATAAATGGGAATGGTTTACAAGAAGACACAACAGAATTTGGTTGGAAGAAACAGTTGATTGACTGCATTTTGAGGTAATGTTCTTTTGTATGGAACTTCGCAAGATTTTACTGCAGATTCCTACTATATAAACGTGTTTACACACGTTTACATTGAGTGAACATGTAAATCAGAAAATGGTTAATTACGTGCATAGGAATTGTTTTTCTTCCTCTTCTAAGATATGCCAATCTGAACCAGGTATTAAATATACCTTTTTTTAGATGATTAAGTCTGAAGGACAGAGGGTGCTATTTGCTTGAGAGCAAAAGCAGCCTGGGATTTTGTTTGTACTAAGCTTGGGAGAGCAAGTTGTAAATGATCCAGGTCAAAAAAACAGAAGAAGGTTGGGTGGATAGAATATGGTTATCTTTCCTTACCTTGGGCAGATTCCAAATGCAGGGAACTTCATCTTCAGTCAGCATAGCTTTTGTTGAGAATCCTGGAATGAAATCTTTAAATCCAGGGGGTGCCCAAAATAGAAAAGATGTTCTGCTCACTTAAGTTTTTTGTCATTTTATTAAAAACATCTGAAGATATTTTAAAAGAAAAATTATCTGAATGCCAAATTAACCAATGGTTGCAGTTTTTATGCACAAAAATCTACTTCATTTTATCCCATGTTTTTAATAGCCTGATTTTTGACAGCAGGGTGGAGTCATTTTTTGGCTACTACTGATAATCAAATGTTTCATTTCCTGTCTCACCTCACTTTATAGCAGCCCTGATCATACAATTGTTAGAATATACCTTGCAAAATGTTGTGCTAATAACTCTCCCATCTAACATTGCTGTTCAACTGAAAGCAGCTTTGAGACCTAAAAAAAATAAGTTTATCATCCTATTTAGCAGGAGAGCCTTCTGGCCAATATGAGCTATAGACTTGCTGGGGCTTTTTATAATTAACCTTTGTTCTGATGACTGAATAATTAAGCAGACATCTGTTTTTGTGTTGCTTTCATTTAGCTGCTAAGGAATATTATAGGATTCTGTAACCAAGTATCTTTAGTTTGTAGAAAAGAAGACACAGTTTCATTATATTTATATCCCACTTTACTTTTCTACAACTCAGGGGAATATACAAAAGACTTCCATCTTTTATTTTCTCCCCAACTATCCTGTGAGATAAGTTAGACTGAGAACAAATGACTGGCTCATAGCCAACTTCTGTGCCTAAGGAAAAACTAAAACTCAGGTTTTCTTGGTTTCTAATCCAGCATATTAATCACTATGCTAAACAGGATCAATAGACAAAGTGTTGAGTTGACATTGAGAATTGACCTTCTCTCCACACAGAATGTTGACAACATGTCTAAAATATTTAAAAGGCCTACTTGTACAGGAAGAGAGAAAATTATTTTCCTTATAACTGAACAAAACAAAATATATAAATTGAAATTAAAGGAAAGGAGAATCAGAAGGAAGTTCCTAATGGCAAAAACAGTTAAGAAATAGAACAGTGTTTCTAGAACAGGGCTATCAAACTCGTGGCCTGCAGGCAAGATGCGTTACACACTGGCCACACCCATGCCCAGTTTAGCAAAGGGGGAAAATGTCCTAATACATCATATGATGCAGCTGTGGTGCCGCAAGTTTGACACCCCTGTTCTAGAACAAAGAAGAACTCTTGATCTCTTAGTGATTTCAGACAGATACTAGATTACCATTACTGGAGAGATCATTTACCAAATTTCTATTCTTAGCTGGGAGTTGGGTTTATTGACTTTCCAATGCATACATTTCATGATTCTGTTGTTCATTATTTATAAAAAGGGGACAGATAAGCTTGATGCCAAACTCTTCACAGCAACTGAAGACTGTATGATTCTAGATATAGTGCAAAATATGCTAGTGATAGCCTTTAAATAATTTTATATCTTGGGAACTTTGTAGCTAAGGCCTTCACATGGCCAATCAGAAACAAGTAAAGATACGTTTAGCTATCTATAATATTCAATACTAATACCATTCAAGGATACCTCCAGGAAACTGGGAAACAGAGAAGGACTTAAAAAATTCCAAAGATTATATTTTAATGACATATCTTTAATTCTCTACCCTCAGAGATGAAAAATTTTAAGGTGGACAAATGAGATAGTATCTAGGAATGGGTTGGCTGCCTTTCACGTTTCACTGCTATTAAGCTAGCCTCTCATCTGTGAACATAATGTTAGATACTGCACATTGTTAGCTCTTTCTCCAATTCAGTTCCAAGTTCTATTCAGTCCACTGCCCTGCAGCCATTCTGACCTCTGTGGTCATTGAGATTGACAGCTAGCACAGAACTAAAAAACATCATTTCCAAGGGATTCAAACTGATACTGAAAGAAACTCCATAATGAGTAGCTGAGCACCCAATTAGCAAGACAATCATCATGACAAAAACAAACAGAAAGGACATTTTGCACTGGAGATAATTAATTTTAGGATAACATCTCACAGGCAATGTTTGAATGACATCAAAGATATAAACTGCCATTCAAGCAATCCTAGCCTTTGTATTCTTCAATCAACACCTCTAAAGGGGAAAAAAGCCAGAGGGGGATCTCTCACTCTCTCTTTTTAATGAGAAAATTAAATGTGAAAGCTAGCATTGTATAAGGAAAGCAGTTACACAGCTTGCAAGTTAATACTAAAGGGCATTCTGGATCATTTTCTTCCCAACGGAGCCAAATACTACCATGGTTTAATAAATTACTCTGCAGCCTGTCATTTGGTTTTATGCTGATAGATGAGGTAGTTATTTTTGCAGTTTACTTAGAATATATTATGTCTTAACTAAAAGAAAATAACAACAATAGCAATATTTGGTGATGTATTTTTCTAGATTTCAATCCCAAAAGGTATTCATCTCAATTCATCAAGGATACGTTAAAGCATAAAGAAGCCTTATAACTCCCATAGTTCATAAGGATGTGAGCAACCATCTATTTCCATAATTCCATGCTCATCTAAGCGTTTCCATAACTAAATTAATGCCTCCCTTGCCTACAGCCTCCGTGGTTCTGCATAATACTTTTTACATTTAAATACTGTATGGTTCCCCTTCAGTGCTAAAGGACAAGACAGATCTTTGTCATTACTGGACATTCTCCATGTTATATCACAAAAGGAGTTTTGGAAATTATTAGAAGATGAAATCTCTTAAACTTTAACTTTTTCGGCAAGCCTGTACATACCCTTGTAATAGAGAGCTTGTGTGCTGACTATATTCTATATAATTTCTTTCCTCATGGAAAGTTTCTTTATTTAGACCATGTTTATTTACTAATCTACTTACATTTATTGTTTTTAACTCATTTTATAGACTGTTTTAACTGCCAGTTATGTCACCACAGTCACTTTGTGTGAGATGGACAGTCATGTAAATTTAATAATTATTGTTAAATATAACACCAAGGGATTTGCAAAGGATATGGAAAGCTGAAGGAAGGGAGGAATTCTTGATAAAAGGTTTCCTGGGTCCTACCCTCTCAAATTTGGGTAGCACAGAATTTGGGCAAGAAAGGCCCATATGAAACCTGGATAGGCCAAAAGCTTAAAACCTAAAGTCGATGGAGAATGCTTCTTATCGCAACACTGCTTGGAATGAATTTGTGACATGGAGTGGATTAAGCATGGATTGTCAAGGTAGATTCAAGTAACTTAGAAGGATGTCCCAGTTTTTGTTTTTTAAAAAACAATTGCTCAGTCATGGAAATCAAATTCAGGCTGAGTATTACTAACCCAATAAAATAATTAGTTAGCATAAGAGGATTTTTTTAAAAAACAACTTTTGAACCAGTATTTATTCCTAGGAATTCATAGACAAATCCCTACAGATTTTCAGAAGTGGTTTGTCATTGCCTTCTTCCTAGGGCTGATAGAGAGTGACTGGCTTGGTTTCATGTGTAAGACAGAACAAACTGGAACTTATGGTCTCTCTTGGTTTCTAACCTGATACTTTAACAACTACATGCTCTACACCCAACTGGCTTTCATTGAGAAGAAATAATTCAACATTAATCCATGTGCCATTAAAAATCAACCTTCAGATCCTGTCCTGAGTACTTTCTCGAGTTTTGGGCACCACGGCTTGAAAAAGATTCAAATAAATTGAAACAGATTCTGAGTAGGTCAAGGAGAGTCACTAGAAACAAAAGCTGTAAAGAGATTGAAGGAACTGAGAATAGTTAGTTTGGAAAATTAATAAAGAGAGGAAGAACCTGAAAAGATACTACATAGGAAAAGATCAAGACCTTTATAGTACCCAGAATATAGGACAGAGAATAATGAATTTCAGTTACGGGAAGGAACCTCCACTTGAAAGTTAGGTGGAAATATGTTCCATATTGGTGAAACCAATTACCCAAAATAGTGGTGGACTGTCCCTCATCCATTGATCCATATCCATGCACTGAGAAGAAGGTTGTATTGAATTGCCTTTATGTCTTTTTTCCAAATCTCTAATTCTGTGAAAGGTTTGCGCAGAGACAACAGTTTATGATCAGAGTCCTATATGACTGTGAATGAGTAGGAAATTTTTGCCTGTAGAAGAAAGAAAAAGAAAGCAGCCTATGACTTGCACTGCATCCAGTTTTGTTCAGCACATTATAAAAAAGATGTTGAGACTCTAGAAAAAGTACAGAGAAGAGCAACCAGGATGATTACGCTAAAATATACAATGAATGGTTGCAGGAACTGGGCTTGGCTAGTCTAGTAAAGACAAGGACCAGGGGAGACATGATAGTGGTCTTCCAATATTTGAGGGGCTACCACAGAGAGGAAGGGGTCAAGCTATTTTCTAAAGTGCCTGTAGGCCAGACAAGGAATAATGGATGGAAACTGAACAAGGAGAGATTTAACCTGGAAATAAGGAGAAACTTTCTGACAGTGAGAACAATCAACCAATGGAACAGCTTGCCCTTGGAAGTTGTGGGAGCACCATCACTTGAGACTTTCAAGAAGAGATTGGACTGCCATTTGTCAGAAATGGTGTAGGGTCTCCCGTTTGGATTGGGGGTTAGACTAGATGACCTACAAGGTCCCTTCCAACTCTGATTGTCTGTTAGATAGACTTCATACAAACATCTCAGCTTTTCTTTTCAGGAAAATGGAACACCACTTGAATTTGTTCCTCATAACTTCCATTCTATCTAAACTGACAAAACTGACTAAAAGCCTGAATCTGATCTTGCAAAAAGATCCTTGGCCAAATTATTTAACTTCCAGAGGTCTTGTATTTATATTTTATTTATATTTTAAAACAAAATAATATTTTATATTTTAAAAAGCCAGAGAAAAAGGGTGTGATGCTGGGTCAGGATGAAAGTATCCCTATAAAAACAACACTGATAGGGATCTCTGGAGGGATGGGCTGTAGTACTAATTCATTTCCATGATTATGATTTATTAAGAATGATCATTTTCTGGGTCACCACAAATTTCGTTTGAGCTAGTTTATATGGAGCAATGA